TTGAGAAGTTATTGAACTGTTGCAAACATATAGCCTGACTCAAAGCTTTTCAAAAGAAAATTTTGCATTACAGAGTTCATTGCAAAGGTCTGTTGCTATAAGTAGTAAAAATATTACTTAAAAGTGAGTTAGGAATCTTACCTTAAAAGACAAAGTAAATAAGGTAACTGCTACATTTAGGTATAGTGACAATCCAGCATAGTTTCAGCTTGTTTCCTTGTGTGTTTCAACACAGGGAAAAAGTGACTTGTGTTTCTTTGTTGAAATGGTAAAGCCCCAGGTGTTTTTCCCAGGTATTTAGAAGTACATACCAATACATAATAAACAAGAGGAGCAGAAGTGCAGTAAAAACATTGTAAATTCTGTTAAAGATTAAATCGGTCCAAAAGAGTTGATAGAATAAGGAAAAATCTACTTTGTGTAATGATGTAAATACCAAGAGATACTCTTGTGTGTATAATGGAAACAGAAAAAGTGACTTCATAACCATTTCCCCTAGTTTTTTTTCATTTCGTGGGTTTAAAAAAAATTAAGTTGAAGATCTAGATAATTTTTGAAAGATGTACTGTATTACAAATGTCAGAAATTATTCCATTCCATATACATAGAGGGGAGCTCCTTGCCCTATTTAGTTCAATTAATAATGAACATTAATGAATTACATTGTTTATTACATTTTTTATCTTGTATGTCCAGCACTTGAGCAGGCAGGTGGAAACATTCTAGCTGTATTTTACTGACAAATTTCTCTGGGTATACAGCGTGACTGTTATGAAGGTATAATTAGATAAGTGAATTGTTTTTCTATAATATATCTTCTGCTGTTTTCATGTATGATCTTATGACGGATGAGCATTATCTACCTGCTTTCCTGGAATAGCAGATTGTGTTTCTTTGTACAGGGGATGTTAAGTGAATTAAGCATATGAGCAGTAAGCCCATTTGCTTAGGGAGGCTGGTGTTTAGACAAGGAGGTTATGGCAGGATACGGAGCAGTCTGGAGGAAAAATACTGTGGATGTAACCATTCTGGTAGAAGAACTAAATTGAAATGGGGACACTACTGTTAATTCATGTGTAATTACATTCCTTTGTTGTTAAAAATTAAATCCTGGGCAAGAGCAAGGTTTGAGCCTGGAATTGTTTTGAAGCAAATTTGGGCTGATGCCTTTCCAAAAACCTTTGGAGATTGCCAGGATGTAGTCACCACGAGGTAGTTGCCTGATGGACACGGTTATGTTCTTTTAAGATCTAACTTTTCTGTGAGTTTATCAGCACCTTTCATCATGCAGGTTATTTATAAAATATCACCCATTGCAACGTTTTGCTTCTCTTCCTTTCTTCTCCCCACTAAACCACAGTTTGGGGGAAGGATTCACCATGCATTGTTCTTTCATGTGCAACCTCCAGGTCAGCCATCAGGAATTCCTTGCTCTTTGGGACTGGCATTTAAATCTGCACAAAAATCTTTGCAGTTCATCGTACCTAATGTGATCACTACCGTAGGACCAGAGGGCCCAAAGCCCTCCTTGCAGAAGTAATTCTGCAGGAGTCTCAGCAGGGATACGGGTTGCAAGGCCTTGAGATTGTGCATACATTCTCTGCAACATGGTAGCATCCTGCAGCATTTCCCCCTGTAAAGTACATTTTAAAATGCTTTTGTGTTTCACATAATGATTATTCTTTCAACAGCTCTGCCTCCCTCTCCCTGCCCCGCCCCAGCTGTTTTTAACTGCATTTTTTATTTGAGGAATTCCCTTTCACTAGGAACTACGGAATTATTGCATCTGAAGAGTACTCCTCTTTTTGCTCTTTTCCATCAGTGTGCCAGTCTGACGGATCTATTTTAGATGTCAGTCATTCATATTTCTACCCCAGGCTGTAAGTTCATCTTTTCACAGGAGTATCAGTTCAGACATTTTCTCAACTGCTTGTTTCTTCAGTGCTTGACCCTCCCTTGTCCCCCGTTGTACTGGTACATACTTCAAAATACTGGACTTTGTTATTTCAACTGAGAGGTGGCATACCGGTACGATGCCCGAGTCTGGCATCCTTCGTACAGGCTGTAACATGCAAAAATTATCATGATAGCTTTTGCTGTGTTTGCAGACAAATGAAGCTTAATATCTCTGCCCAGGCTCCGAATTACCTATGAGATTCTTTATTTAATCATTTCAGTCTGCGTTGCTCGTGGCTTTTCAACCTCTATTAGGCTTCCTGTCAGAGAGTGCCAGCACGACAGAACAACAAGGTTCTCTGACTGGCTGGCTCGGTACTTTACGGTGTGTCGTCCTTATTGTATTTGTGGGATTTATCATTATTTCACTACAAATCTTCACAATTTTTTTTAAGTTCTCCGTTAACCCTGAAAAATTACAGAATTGGGTTAAGAATTAAAAGGCATCCTTGTCCTGAAACAACTCTGCAGGGCATAAATAAGTAACAAGTGGATTGGTTTTCAGTCAAAATGAATCAGCTGAGATGAGCTTCCCTGTGAAAAATCTAGTTGAGTTTTTACAGATACCTGTAGAGTTATATTTCTCCCCTCTTAAGTTATACAAGAATTTAGATTACCTTGAATCAGTGATCATAGGCTGAATCAATCTCTGAAATTATAGGTCGTCCTGAACCCTTTGACAAGATGAAAATGTATGGGATTCTGTGTTAGAGACAATGTATTTTGTCTGTGTTTTTACAGTATATATTTAGGATGACACTGGGTTGATTAGATGATTTCCTGAAGCCACAATTTAGTTCTTCAGGGTCCGACTATGTCATTTTTTCAAAAATACAATGTTCAGAAAGAAGCTGTATTCATATTTATGGTTATTGATTCACAATAATTCCAGACTAGATAGAGGTGGATATTTAAAGAAGATAACAGCCGATTGGAGATGTTGAGAAAATACTGCTTGCAGTTTTGTTTTTAAATATTTTTTTTCTCTTATATGTCAGTCCATGATAAATATGTGTTTACAGGTATTATTGTCATGTATGTTATAATTATACCTTGTACAGATACAAGGTTATAGTTTTCATAATAAATACCTCCAGTATAAGTTGTACTGTGGCATAATTAACCATCACTTTTCTTTTTCAACATCTTGTTACTTTCAGTATAAATCTTCTGGAAGGACCACAAATAAATAGGTGGTCTTAAGTAGCTTTTCTTTTTCCTCAATGTGACTTTAATTTAGGGGATAATAGGATTTTTTTTTTTAAGTTCCTTAGAAAACACTCACTTTAGAGGTGAAAGGCTTTGCTTTTTGCTTCTGATAATTACAGAGTTCAAATCTGCTCAGATTAGACTGATCTGGTCTTCCCACTTGATGTCTTTCACACTGCACACTAAATGTCTTCACTCGGCCTTTTTGCCTCTCTTTCATCAATGCGGTGTCTTATTCCTACCTGGTAGCTTATAAGGAGGTGACTGAAGGAGCTCCACTGAATGCTCTTTCAGAAGTTTGGCCATATATTCTGAGTTGTGTTCTCTCTTTAACATCTGGCAAGCGTGAAATTTTGGAGTTGAGTGTTTTCACTGGGATGTTGAGCATTCCCTTACGTGGTTTCCTGCAAATCCCGTATTTTTCATCAGCTTAGCAGTGCTGGGAGGTAAGTGCTGGTCTTCACCCTGCTTAGCTTTGCGTGAACCCCATGTGCCAAATTTTTAGTCTGTGCCCTGCCATGTGGTCGATGAAGTCTTTTGGCTGTGGTCACTGGGATAGCTCCTTCCAGGGCTTCCCTATTGAGAGACTTGCAAACAAGCTGGGAAGGCAGTGAGGAAAACTGACAGCTGCGAGGTCAATCCCGCAGCTTCGGCAGTTAGTGTGTGAAAAGGTCCTATGGTAGCATTGGTGATGATGCTTTGATATTAATCTTGAATACCTCTAAAGTCTTCTGTATTATTAAACCGATAGTGGTGATGTTCGTTAATGGTACTGCTATGGGAAGGTAACGAGACACCTTTAGAGCCCTCTGGTAGAAATGTTGCAGGATCTCCTGCTATTATTTCTGTAAGAGCCTGGTAACAGAAAACATCGGGAGGTCTCAGGAGAAATTAGGCAAGATAATGTGATTGCTGAAAAATTAACACAAGTGGCAGCTGCATGATAAAAGCTTTAAAAAGTTTTTTCAAACCGAATAAAGTAAAGAGAAAAACTAAAAGCAACTCCTCAGGCAGGGCTGCAGCAGATGCATTGTATCTGCTGAGGCTTAGTCCTGTAGTAGTTGGCATAATTTGAAAATTGAAGTTACTTTAAAATTTATAGTTGTTTCTAAAATATTCTTGAAAAACAACTTCAGATTCTGTTTCCTGAAAGTGCAAAAGTTCCACTAAGTACAGTAGGTTTCCTTGTTTTCATGTGTTAATTCTGGTATTCTAAAAGCGTGCAAATGGCATTTGTCTTTGGATTTACAAAAACTCTAGATATTCAGGGTTTGAATTATTTAAACTCCCACAACACATGCACTTTTGCTTTTCAAGCTTGAGTTATAATTTAATTAAAAACTTCTGGTGCATCGCTAGCTATTTAAATATTAAAATGTTCCATGGATCACTTTCGATTATCTACCGTCATGAAATTCCTGAAGATGTCAGATTTTTAAGATTCCCAAAGTTGCACTTGGAATTGTCTGTTGATGCAAAGGGGACTGTGATAATTACATACATCCATTAGTATCAGCAGAGGAGATAAACTTTGGGGAGGCTTAATGGGCATGTCTCAGTGACAGCTAGCAAAGAACATTTGGCATGATTAAGGATGGATTTGAATGTACTTGAAAATATACTCTCATTATGGACGCCCAGTGGAAGTTGCACTACAAATGTTAAATTCCCCAGAAGAAGAGTTGTGTGGCAGGGAAGCTTTGAAATCCACTGTGGCCGTCATCCAAATTACTCTCTTCTCTTTGTGTCTTTCTGCTGTCAGATTCACTTTGTGATGCCCAACTTGGCTCCCTGCATCTTTGAAAAGAGGCAACCTGTTGGTTTCTGTGTTTCAGATTGTCCGAAGATACATCAAGGACTGGCTTGAAAGGAAGAAGCCTCCATTTGGCACTATCAGCAGCTGTGTGCTCCTGATGATCATCTACACAACATTCTGTGATACTTTCGCCAATCCAAATATTGACCTTGATAAATTTAGCTTGATTATAATAGTGTTCATAAGTAAGTTCAGCCTTAAAGCATCTCTTTTATCTGTGTTTCAGGTGTGTAATGAGCTGTATGTACTGGAAATGGTGGGGCTGTGGGGATACTGGCACAGGGCTAGAGCTTGTACTTTTAATGTGTCTAGTAAACCAGATTACCAGACTTCTTAGGGGCGGGATGCTTTTAGGGGATTGAGTAAGCATTTAGAGAGGGATGAACCCTGCTGTTTAGGTGTGCCTGAGATTGCTCAGTGGCCCTCCCTTTCTAAAGGGGCACACTTTCCAAGTGTTTACGACCATTCTGTTTTGGCTTCTTTGTTATTAAACAACCATAAATGCACAGATGCTGCATTCCAAACAGAAAGGAAAGATTTGGGTTTGAGCTGTAACTCAAAACGCTGTTATAACTTAAATAGTTCTTCCTTACCATATTATAAACCTAGAAACTAGTTGGGAGTTTGAATGTGTTGATATATTTCTGTGGATGAACACATTTCTTGCAGAGTTCGTTTTAGAAGCACTGTAGTCGTTCAGCCCTAAATAACATACACATGAGAATAGACTGCTGGTATCCTTGCCGTCACTTAAAAACACACTTACAGATCACCACCTCCCAGGGAAAGGCAGTGGTATACAGGCACTGTCTCTTCTCCCAGTAGGAAATTCCCATCTTGCTTCAGACTGTCCAGAGGCAGGAGTTTCAATTTGCTTGGGGGAGAGGTAACTCAGTATACTACAGTATAAATCACATCTCATACACTCTAAAACTGTTAGATTTCAAGAAATCAATGCATCACCTACCTTGAAGTGTGTGTATATTCACGTTTCTGTTTAATACAAATAATGTAACTTCTATAAATCCAACCTGCATGAAAGTCAGTAGGAAATTTGCCTCTGCCCTTTGTGGGTCAGTTCTTATTCTATCCTAATTGTGGCAATTTTTTGGATATGAAACACGATACGTGTGTAAAATACTACATGGAATTATAAATGGTACTGTATAAACACTTCATTCTGAAAGCAGAGAAGAAGGAAGCCATGCTAAGGAGCTTTTTTTCAAAATGGAGGAAATACTTGTTTGCACAGGCACCTGAGAAGGACCACATCTGAGATGCACTTAAAATCAGTGCAGAGTTGTCAGCAAAAAAGAGGCATATGGAAATTTTCAACTCTGACAAGTCAAACAGGCAGAGAAACTCAGAATGAAGTAATTTCATGTTACTGTGCTGACCACTACTTTGGGGGGAAAAAAAAAATTCTTTTTTTAGTTAAAAAAGTATGTTCTTCCTTGAACAGTTGGTGTAGAGTGGTTGCTTCCATTGCCTTTCTTGTCCTTTCTTTTATTTCTCTGCAAGACAACTCTGCGTTTGTGCCATGTGTAATTATATATATCACTTGCAGTGCCATACGCTGAAAATCGTTATATATACATTTTCATTGCCAGTGTGCATAACTGGAGTTTCTTAGTAAGAATATTAACATAACCATTGAAACTGTGTGGAACATACTAGATGTTTGGTTTTTTCCTAAAATATTTCTAAACCCAAAAACCAAGGAAGTTGTGGAGATGGATATGCACATTGTATTCTAGAAAAAGTTTCTGTACCACCATTGGATGGGTTGGCTGGATGTCTGTGTTGTGTTATACCAGGATGTGAAATTAGCATGAGGAGTTTGAGATGAAACTGCATTTATTATTCTGCTGATTAATGTTTTTATGTAATTTTTGTGTTAATATTCTAGCCACAGCAAAATATGCACAAGGGATAATTGGTAGCAACACATGCTTATTGCTTTACAGAATTATACGTATTAAGGGATTTTTTTGTCTGTGCATGTTACATTAAAGCACTTAGTTGCAGAAAAATTGTAATTCAGGAACAATGGATAGCTTCCTTATTTCACGAAGGAAGAATTAAGTGCATGCTGAGGTGACATTTATACATCCTAGGAAATGTATGTAAGAGAATGGAAAATGTCACTGGTAATAGCTAATATCCCTGCCACGTTTCCCAGTTGTAAACTGGGGACAAAATCAAATGTATTGTCGTGGCTTACACTACCCCGTGGGACACATTAGCCTTATTGCGTTCACAAGTTTTGCAAGGAAAAAGGAGAGGACCCACCCCAGATTCTGCTGCAAGTAAAAGCCCTTCCCCCATAACCCACAAACACTCTCAGAAAAGGTCTGTGCAGGTCACAGGGTTTCTCCTCCAGCTCCGTGGGGAGTTCCTGCACTTCTGCACGATGCTCGGTCTCTGCAGTCCCAGCAGCTACTCGCAGCACAGCGGGGAAGCTGCCTGCTTCTCGCCACATCTCCACCGACCAAGGGTGGGCTCTGTGCATCCCACAGCCCCTGTGGGTGTCAGGAGAGCTGGCGGAGAGGAGAGCTCCCCTCAGGATGCTCAAAAACCATCCGCACTTACAGAGCTGACTGAGCTTGAACGAAAGCTGCTTTGTCTGAGCTACACTGCCCAGGTCAGGAATTAGCCTTTGTCTCAGAGGGAATTAAAATGTCTGTGATGATCTCCTCTTAATAGTGATCATTCATCAAGAGAGTAAATGTACCCAGCGCACGAGAATATTTGTTGTGATCATGGTGACACGTTGTACTTTCTCCTGTTAAATAGAAAGGGACTGAATTTAAATACTTGGCAACCAGAGCATGTCTGAGAGATTTTATATTGTCAACCCGATAAGCAAAACTAGCGCAAACAGATGCGCAGCATGCAGTAGTGAACTTTCCTGCCATTCATTGTGTCAAGAAATACTTGATTGAGAAGAGTTACCTCAGAAAGAACTTGTGTAGCCATGATATTAGTTCTAGCTTTCTTGGATGTAATGATACTTATTGTTCTTTCAGACAGTCTTTAAAAGGTTGTCTGTCATTGGATTTCTCTGGATAGACTTGGTCCAGCCTAGCTTCTGACCTGTTGTGTAGGGGGACAAAAGGCATGTACACAGCAATTGCAGAGATTTAAGTGATCTTTACTTGGGTGATCTAAGTCTAATTTAACTTCTTTCTCTTTCAGTATTTTCTGTTCAGATGAGCTTCATGTTTTTGACTTTCCTCTTCTCTACAAGGTAATTGAATGTGCTGAATCAGAACCTTTGAATATTTGTTTTGTGTGATATCTTTGGCTTGGGTGATACAGTTTATGCAAATCTGTAAGGGCAGGTTTCTGAATAGGGGTGACCTCATTTTGGTATTTCATATTGTCCTTACTGCATTTTCTCTGTTAGAGTTGCATAGGCTAAGAGAGCAGGACCTGAATTCTGTCCTTTCTTGTGTGTTAATTACAGAGTTGTTAAATCTCAATCAATCACTGCTATACCTCATCCACTGAAAAAAATGGATTTGCACAGATGTCACTGAAGGTATAATTTGCCCTGCAGACATGCTGATGACATATGAGAGAGAGAACTCAGTTTGACTTTTTACATCTCAAGATACATTTGCTGGGCTGGCAATTCAGTCTTCTCTGTATATGTCAAATTTGTTACGTTTATATGGTGATTCTTAAAAGACAGTTGTCCTGAACTAATGTTTGGTAGAGCTATTTTTTTTTCCTTTTAAATATCGACCAGGAAGAACTGTTGTACATTCACTTCTCAAAAAATAGTACTGTGAGAATGGTGTTAGGCAATGGTTTAGTGCGTCACTGGAGCTGGTCAGATTATCCACCATTGTCCTCTCACTTAGGCTTACTGGAGTATTTTTCTCAGCAGCACTCTGCTGGAATGGGAAATGCCACAATACAGCAGACTCCAGACATATGCTTTATATCAATTATACAATATCCGTAAGGGAGAATCACAAAGCAGGGTGCAATGTCTTAGAGCTACTTATGCTTTTTTAGTGCCACAGAAAATTTCTCTGTAACAAGATCACACCCTGACCTTAGAAGGCATTTTTAAATAATGTTTGAACTGCTAGACCTAACCTGGGGGGCAAGATATGTCCCAACTCTAAAATCTAAACTGTCATAAGTAGGAGCCAACTCAGTGTGGTAAATACTTAGAATCTCATAAAATGATTCCTAATTTGAACCAAAGGGTGATCCGTTGGCCACCTCTGTATAACCTCTCTCTGTATGTCATTTTTCCATCCTTCCTGGCCTTACTCCCAGTGTGTAAACCCTTAGATGCAGTTTTTCTCTGAAGTGGAAGATAACTACATATTCTAAGCAGTGCTCAGTGTAGACTCAATATACTATCTAAATTGAGCATTTTGTTAGCATTACATACTAGGAAAAGAAATCGTAGGTCATTCTCTTTTTTTACAGAGGCAAGCTAGCCACTGCTGTATTATAGCATGTTTGCAAAAATAACCTTGGCTGGAATAAAGTTGTGTCCTACATACCATGTGCCCAGAATTCGTCTCCTTCACACGGGAGCACATTCATTAGAGAGTTTGCCACAACTGAGAAACAATTCTGCTTTTAAAAAAAAAAATCAAACACTACTGTTCATTTGTGGGTAGAATTATTTCTATCACTAGACCTGATCAAAGTGATGTGAATGTGCATATGGATCCTCAAAGTAATGTATTTGATCAATGATGTTTTAAGAAGGTTTTTGTTATCAGAGGTTATTAAAACTCTTTCTTTTCTAGGAATAACTCTAGTTTCACACCAGCAGACACAGTGGCTATCATTTTCTGTTCCACACACAAATCCCTCACCCTGGGTAAGTCAGGAGATAAGCTTTTGAGCAAAACAACAGTAACATTCATACCTTGCTTTGTTGGAAAAAAACATGTTGTTGGTTGCTGGCTTTTCTGCTTAAATGGTTTTGGTTTTAGTGTGACAAGTAATGCTACCAGTATGATACTAATAGAGGGATAATATTCTTGCACAGATAAAATAAATGTTTATTACAGGGCAGTCAACATAGTCTTCTCAGCTCAGATTTTAGTGGTTATACAGTAAGACCACCTTATTTATGGAAAGCTGGATTTTTCTTTCTGTTCTTATTCTGTTCTGTTGCCTAATCCAATATTGATAAAATTTCAGGTTTGTTACTGAAAAGATTGTAAGGTATATCCGCCCAGTCTCACAGTAAAATCATACACCTAAAAGCTGGGATGTACAAGTGAAAATCAAGGCATGTAGTGTATTCAGAAACCACAAATAGACAATACTGTCTTTTGCTTAACATGAGCAAAATGTATGTGTTTATTTTAAGTCTGCAGATATTTTGGATAGTTTTATTTATTAGAATTCATTTATCAAAACATCATTGAGATATTTGTCACTTATGACCCCTCAGTGATAATAAGATGTTCTGATGGAAATTCACAAAATACTGCTAAATCAGTTATGCTTACAGCCACCTGCTACTGCTTCATCCATTATGTTCAGTCAGTGAAATGACTAGAATATTTTCTTACTGTTTTTTAAAATATGAAAACATGTGTTTGATAAAGCATATGCGACTGAATATATGCCTTTTCAAGACTGTATCTGTCAAAGAGAAACACAGCTAGTGTCAATAACAAAGGTAAGAACTCAGCCTGAAACAGGGGAAGAACAAGTCGGGACTTAGGTGAGATGTTTTCCGAGTCAGTTTAATGTAGCGAAACTCATCTCAGGGTTCTTTGCTTCAGCCAGGCCTGTGCTGCAGAACTGTTAGCAAGTGCCCTTCAAAGTCTGTGGGAAGTGAACGAGTTCCTGAAGACAAGAAAAAGGCAAACATAATGCCTCTTTTTCACAATGGAAACGAGGAGGGGACGAGGAGTTATAGATCAGTGAGTTTAACTTCATTTTGTAGAAAACTACTGAAACAAATAATTAAATTATTTTAACAGTGTAGGAAGAAACAAGGAAATGAGTAACAGCCCCATAGATTTGTCAAATTCATATCATACCAAACTAACCTAATTTCCTTTCACACAAGGTCCTGTTGCAGAGAAGTAGCAAAAGTTGTATAGCTTGAGAACATTATGGCTTTTGACATTTGCATGATGTTTTGGGCTCCACAATTCAAAAATTATGTGGACCAAGTGGAAAGAGATCGGAGGAGAGTGCCATGAATGATCATAGATCTCAAAAATGTGACCCCAGAGGAAGGTTGAAACAACTGGGGTTGTTGAGAGAAGACAGCCTGAAATGCAGTAGTGATCTTCAAACAGTTGATACAAAGAAGGAAGAAAGTAACTCTTTCACACTGGTCTTTGAAAAGGGAACGACTTTGTTACAATGATGATGATTTAAGCTAATAATCAAGGAAACCTGTCTAATGTAAACCAGTTTAGCTTTGGAATATGTTGCCTATTGATTTCTTGACTCTCCTATCATTGTAGACAAGCCTCAGACAGGAATTAGCTAGAGTTGATCCTGCCTTGGAGCAGAACATAAATTAAATGACATTAGGTCTTTTTCAGCCAAATGTTCTATGAAACTGAAGCTTCAACTAATAAATGAGCTTGTATTCAGGAGGATAGTTACACTTGTATTTATAGAAAGCAACTGCACACGTAAGTCATAACACACTACTGTACTTGCTATTTGGAGGGGCGTATAAACTTAGGACACAACTGTGATACTGCAGAAGAGAAGCTGGTGGTATTTAACAGCACAAATGTGTAAGTCTCCCCTCCTCAGTGAAACTAGTTTTATATACACTCTGTTGAATACTTCTGTAGCTTGCCATGACACTAAGAAAATAAGCACAAAGCCTTTTCTTAATATTTAAGTCCTAGAGAGGCTCACCATCACCCAGAAAAAAAATGAGGACTCCTCATTTCTTTTACTCACTCCACCAAGCATCCTCACGCAGTCTGTCTTGATCTGCACCCTATGCACACAGCTGAGTTGGTTCACTTTTCTTCTGCTAGTACACTCTCCTTTTTATATTTTATTTTCTCCTTTAGAAGAACCTAGTTTGAAGTTCCTAGCTTGCTTGACTGTTTGGCTCACATTTTCCCAATTCCAAGTTACTGCTCTCATTAGCACAGCCTGATGAGTCAGGCTTTGTATTTTGCAGCTTTCTTTGCCCAAGCACACCAATAAAAATACTTTGGCCACCTTGACTTCAGGGACTTGTACAGCTTCTCCCCAGCTATACAGGCTTTTACCCTGCTAATACAGACGTCTCATGGGTAAGTGCGCAAGTTGAAATGAAACAGGCAGATGGTAGAACACAGCATTGCAGGACTGTTTCTCAGCTACAGACCGTTCCGTTTGTCAGCTTCGGGACAGACTACCTTCATCCTTGAAGAGCTGGTGTCTCATGGAAGGCGAGTTTGCCTCCTAGGAGGCTAGTCACAAGATGTAATTCGTTCTTAGGCTTTTCACTTTTGCACTATTTTGCCTTACTGCTCAGGGCCTGCGTTGAGATGGCTGGTTGGTTGAGACCTGTGCTTCCCGTGCTGTATTCCATCTCTGGGGCTGAGCTTTGTCAAGGTTTCTTTGGGGCTCCCAGGTTTGTCTTGCGTGGGGCCAGCAGCAGTGTGTCCTGAATTGAGCACCACCCCTGATGGGGAAAGCTCTCTTTGGCAGTCCCTGGGAGCCCGTCTTCGGTAAGCCTGGGGGCCCCGCCACTCTTGTGTGCATCCCTACGCAGTGTGTGCACTACGTCGGCGTGCCTGCTGTGTATCAGTTTCAAGCTGGCCGGTTTTGAGACCACTGGTGTTTTACTCTGTTCGGTATTAGTACCAGGTCCAGATAAGATAGAGCTACATAAGCACACATTTCTATGTCAATAGAGAGTTTTATAAAGCTGTACTGCAATGAGGCATGCCCCTAAGCTCATGATGGAAACAGGAATGTTAACCAGAGCAGCTAGCACTTATTCCTTCACTGAAGGTGGAAGCAGAGTAGGTCTACTTTGTTTTTAAGGATCAGCCATTTCTGAATGACAGTTAAATTTACCCACAGCACAGTCTTGTCCACCCTGATCGTAGCAGAAACAAGAACAGACGTAGGCATTTTGGCCCTTACTCTTTTGTTGTTCTGTCACATTTCTACTTGTCCAGAGGTGTTTGCTATAAACCATGTACGGAGAAACCTTCTGTTCTCTTGCAGCGGAGAGAGTTTTTCCCCTCTCCCTCTGTCATTACAATGCCTGAAAGCACACACACAGCTCAGGGTCTGGTTTCACATCCGTTGTGGAGCTCTGCTTTGTTTGTCTTCAAGATTCCAGTGGTAGTGTATAAATGACCCCCCAACACTTGTTCTTTCACTTTGAAACTGATTTCTCTCAGCTTGGCAGGTGAAACTCCAAATAGGTATGTCTGGCCCTTTCCCTGGGGAGCTTAGAATGGCACCGACTAAAGTGGGAGAAGAGCTGACAGCTTTAAAGCTTTAGAAGTGGTAATAGGAGAGGCATGAGAAGACTTTTATAAGTCACTTTCTCCCACACCATATTATGAAACCAACTAATTCCCATGCAGTGCATGCTCATGAGGCCAACTGCCACTTCCACTGTTGAATCCATGAATAAGTGCTTGCTCTGCACAGAGATGAGTGCTGTTCCCATATGCTGGGTTTTATTTTGTAGACAGAACAGTTGACACACTTTTTGTCTCAAAGATCAGAGTGCAGGGCATGTTTGCGTAAGGACAAATTACACAGGGTAGGTGCTTTGGTAGGAACACAAGCTGATATTTCTGCATAGAGGTGGGTGCCCTGGCACTTTTTTGAATACAGTGCATCACATATGCAGAAAAACTAATATGTATTTGTATTTCACTTAATGAGTGAAACAGGATATAAACTTACAAGGAGTGAAGATAAATATAGTATTCACAATGCCCTCTGGCATATTCACCCACACTTTGTTCTCTTTCTCTCCTTCTCCCTACTCACATATATGCACAGTACATGTGAGCACACACATATGCGGACATTTGATGCATGGCTTTTATTAGTGCATTTGCCATTGATTGATTAGTACTTAGTATTAGTACTTCTTCTATTGATTGATTGCAGATGAAGTGACTATTTGACCTTTAATTATGAGCCTTGCTATTGAAAATGACATTGAGCTATGGCTTCACATAATCCATCTGGAAAGCCCGACATGATGCCATTCCCTGGAGTTCATTCAGTGAGAAGAGAAGAGGCCTCAAGGAAGTGCAGAGCTATCAGTGTGGCTCATCTAAAAAAATACTGCAGTTGTTGCTTGCACTTACGCAAAAGTTGCACCCAAGTAAAGAACAGTATTTTATTTTTTGCAGAGAGTGAGTTGCTAGCTAGAAGTTACAACTTCTTCCAAAAAATATTTTCACTTTAATTCTTTGTATTTGCTATGTAAAATTATTTTATCAGCAAAAAATGGAGTACTGTTACCTGTTTTGGCTACCACAAGTGCAAATGTTAGCACTGTAGGTATGATGACTAGCAGATTGGTAAAAAAACAAACCAAAACAACAAAAATAACCCCACCTTATAATAAAATCAGGCTACTGTTTGTGATGGAGAGTGCATTTTTCCTCATTTTGATTTATCAATGTGGCAGTTCTTTCACTATGGAATTCTTAAAGTAATGCAATCAAAGTTTCTAGGCTACAAAATATTTTCAGGAAAGAATAGAGTTCATTTTGCAAATAAAAGCCAAAGCGCTAACTTTCTTTTGTATTGTTCTAATTTAATTCAAATATTTTTTTTAAATACTCAGCTTCATACTGCATAAGTACAGAACTGATAGTTTGTACTTGAACAATTCTTAAAAGCCTGCTGTAATGC